CTGCCCCCCCCCCCCCACAATTGCATATTACTCTTTGGTAGAGAACTTACTTTGTGATGATAATCTAAACTTACCAAGTCTTATTTCTTTGCTTTGACTTAGAGACATTGCTTAAATTTTTGAGTATATCTCTACCTCTTAATTCAAAACTGCTACTGGAAGAAAAGTCATCTCTGTTGGTATAATTCAGCTATGAGTTGTAAACTTGAATCCAAGGGAACTCTTTTTTAATTAGGAAAAAGAGGAGGGAGAGGTGAAGAGTGTCAAAAAATCAACTGAACAAAATAACTTGTACTTATTAACAATTCCAAGAAAAAATAAATTCATAAATTATAAAACAAAACCACAATTAGCTCAAATTATATGAAAGAAAAGTTATTAAAGAATGCAATCCTTCAAGATATCATTGTAGGGATTTTTTTGTGTGTGCTTGAGAAACCAGTATTTAATCTGAAAACTCAAGTTCTGTTCTTGACTACCATTGAGTCTTTGTAGGGGATACCGGAGGCAAATGTATGAATTATGCAGCCTCTGCTGTCCACAAAGCCCCATCTCCTTTTTTATCTTGTTGCTTATTTTTAGCTTCTGCCTCTTTTGGTTTGTTTGCATAATGAAAAGTAAAGAAACATAAAGGAAGTTAACTTGTTTCTGGCAGAATTAATGAGGCTTAATACCAACCTAGTGACTACAACATTCATTCAAACAAGCTCAGAAGGAATAAAACCCTTGGACTGAAACATCAAACTTTATCCCTTACCTTACTTGAAAAGTTTCCTTAGTTATTAACTTTTAAATTAGTTTAGATGTCCCTTTTCAAGGAAATATCTAGCTTCTCTTTTTAGCAACATAATCTCCTCACATATAAAAGTACTTCAAAAAGTTTATAGAATGATTCATATTATCTTTTAATTCTATTCATCCATGAACTTTTTGAAGTATCCTTGTATACTGTCATATGCCCATGCTCCGCAAATTTTAATGTGAACACAAATCACCTGGAGAGTTTGTTACAATGCAGATTCTAATTCAGTAGGTCCACGGTGGGGCTGAGATTCAGCATCTCTACTAGCTCCCAGATGATGCTGCTGTTGATCCAGGAGCTACCCTTTAAGTGGAAAGATCCAACGCAATGACTTTAATTTGTCCTGAGAGTAAGTCACTATTACATTATAAATGATTCATTAGATTAAAAAGTTAAGATAAATTTTACCAGCAGCCTTTTTTTTCCAAATATTTTTATATTAGTACAAAACAGCAAATTTCCCATCCAGAGCTTTAGAGTAAATTGACCAGGTGGATAATACTAGGCTGTAAACAACTGGAGAAACTATTTTTAAGGATTGCAAACATGGTTCCTATAGGGGCCATGGGAAAGCATCTTCCTCACCTGTGAAGTTTCTCTAAAAATCACTGACAAGTTCAGATTAATAGGAATAAAAAGCATAACAAATTTTGTTTTAACATGCATAGTACAGGAGAATCACAGAATGATTGCCCAATAACCACGTGTGGTTACAGTTGCTTACATACCACTTTTCATACAGAAAGAGGAGATGGGGGTGTAGGAGTAAATGATTCGTAGGGGGATGCAACAAGCCTGGAGAACACACAATGGCCTGGGACAAAGTCTATCTGGCCCTCAGAGCAGACAATGACTGGTAAATGATTCTCATCAAAATACTGAATGGGATTAAAATAGAAAACAATGGTCTGACAAAATTAGTCCATGTATGTTGACAGAATTCAGTCTGTCTTCCTGTGATATGAGTTAACTTAATAAAAACTCAGGGAAAGGACCAGAGATAATTGTCTTCTTCTTTGGTGGGTCCAGACTTTAGGCAGATAAGGAAACAGCTTTATCCTTTGTTTTAGAGAGTCACATAGGACTAAGAGATTGGGGTGGGGTAGGGTGGGGTGGCAAGGAAGGTTAGAGAGACCTTGAGGCTGTTTCTTTATTCCAGCAGGTCAAAGCACTATATTTTGGGGTAGCAGACCCTGAGCTCCAGCATTTCATTACCTTAATTTTAGACACTGGCAACTCCCCAAAACTGGATTTCTTCAAGAGCAATCAGCTCCTATGGACTGGGGGATGCTAACACGGCAGCCACCTGATGATTCTTTGTGCTATCAGCAGAGAAAGATTTTAACCTTTCCTACAATAGGAAAAAGCCTCTAGAAGTCCAGTTGTCTAGATAGTGTTAAACAGGGAAGCATAATAATTTCCACCAAAGAAATTTAGGGCTGTGACTGGGATCTCCCTATAGCCACCCATGG